TGCCTGTAATGAGACGTTCAAAACATAGTCGAAGCCAGCAAAATAATAAAAAAAAGTCAAAACATCATGAGTTCAGTAGGGAAAAATTTATTTTGTAATTTTGTAAATATTATAAAGAAAATATGTTAAAGTGTTTACAGGTGAAATTGTTTAGAAATTGCATTTGTTGGAATAATAAAACAATTTAAAAAAAAATAATTAAATGCAGGACGGAAGCACTAAAATAAATCTAAGTACGGAACACAAAAAGTTTTCCATATTATTAAATTAGTATTAATAATTAACAAAATCATCTAACTTTGTCTCTACTAAAAATAAAAATATCATAGTGGTCCTTGGTCAAAAAAAGGTTTGGAACCGCTGATCTGCGAGGTGAGGTAAGTCACCATCTAACTTGAAGTTAGTGACTTTGTGTCTTTGTAGTTGTCTTTGTAGTTTACAAATCAGATTGTTAAAGTACTCCAATCGGCGTTGTGTTGACAATACTACTATGTGTTCACTTAGACTTATCAAATCTCTTTAGCATATTTTTGTATAAATTTTGTTGGAATTTTGTATGGACTTTGTATGGGTTGCATATGAAAAATAGCATATATTGCTACTTATATGACGAGTTAAGAACAATAGTTTAAACACTGCATAACATTATCAGGAAAGCAATGCAGGTCAATGAATTTCTGACCTGTATGATATAGGTATATAATTACTTGAAAATTCTTAGTGGTTACTTTCTAATAAGTAAGGTCTTAATGGACAAACTACAAGCTATGCATACATACCTGTTAAATTTGACTCAGGGAATATTTTTAACCATTTTGGACCACCGTTTAGGAATCAGTGTCCTAAATGTACAGCTATTTCAAATATGGTGAGTCTTTGAACTGATTTTTCAAAGTGGACTCTAAATTTCTCTAATGAGAAGAACTCTCATTAGTCATGATGAAAAATATAATTATAATGAGTCTCTGAGTCTCTAAGTAACTTATGTTGCGTCTACCACACATCGAGAATATGAGAATAACAATTGCGTGGCATGCTTTAAACTGTAACTATAGACTCATATATAAATTTTCTTCATCATTAAAGTATGTAGCGCCAAGAATAATATAGTATTTTGAATTGAAGAACTTTATATAAACTATTTCACGGTTTGAGATTTCACCGATGTAACGATTTTATCATAGGTTTTTCATAAAGTTCTGCATTAACAGCAATTTCTACTTTTTTGCTGAAAGATATTAGTCTATATATAAACCACCAAATACATTTAGATAATAAAATCTGAATAATTTGAAATAAAATATAGATAACATTAGGTTTAATCGGTTCATGTTGATACAACTATTAATACCCCTACTCATAAATGCCGCCAAAATTGCTTGGGAGAGGCAAATCGCAAGTACCGAATAGAAAATGGGTTATAGCGGCTGTATTCAAACTGCTGTAATATCTAATACATACGTCTAATACATGAAGATAGGCAATCGCAAATAACTTGGATTGAAATATAGCTTATAATGGCAGTATTCAAAACATTTGTACCATGTGTCTGAAATATAGTATCTACTAAAAGTTTTAATAGATGTGTTGGAATTCAACTATTTGAAAAGTATAATGAAATATTCGTAAGTATAATAAACCTAAATGAAAACTCAAGTCAACGAAGTGGAACATATAGCCTATAAAAGTGTCATGGGTACTTCTGCTAGAAAATGAGTTGAAAAATGGAATGAAAGCATAATTGTATTAACATATTGATAGGAGTAAAGTTAAATAATAAAACCTGTCTGGAAAATGTACTAGTCCAATTTAATTATCATCATTAATTATCACTTCTACAAATAGGATATTTGATTAAAATTAAAGTAGTCTACATATTAGTCAAGAGAATTTTTGGTACTCAAAAAATTCGACATAAATTACTAGCAGCCAGTATTAAAAATCACATAAAAGCTCATAGTTTATTTATGAAAAATTGAAAGGGTTGCAATAATTGTGTGACATTTTACACGACATATAATTAATAATTTAATTTTACATATTCTAGTTATTTATGTAAGCTCTAAATGATTGATTAGACATATTCAAGCAAAATATTTATTGATTTATTTAAAAAATATATTGCATATAAATATTTATGAGATCTTAAACGTATGGTTGGCAGAGCAAATGAAAAACCAGAACAACGTAATGCGCATGTTGAGGTAAGTCGCATTTGAGTGCAAAATAGACATAATATTTTATCTTAGGTGTTGCGTAGCCTCTCTAGACGAATAAAATTAATTATTAAAAAATTAAATTAACAGAATATATAAGGTTTTAATTTAATTTAAGGTTTCAAGCTTTATAGTGACTACCTTGAAATTTATATAGTGCTTTGTAAACAAAGCAAAATACTTCAATACTATTGGCAACTGGTAACTACATATTTACTAGTACTAGAACTGCAATTGTCTTGTAAAACATTAAACTTATCTAAAGATAATATCTTTATAAATGGAGTATAATTAAAACCCACGTATAAATTTTTGCAAGCCGGTATGGTTGGATTCAAATATTCTTTATTTATTGGCGAACTCAGATCATTTTTTTCTTTAATAACGATTCCATTATCGTTTATTGTCTGGTATTTACTATAATTAGTAACCTGTACCTCTCGATTATTAATATAATTTTATTGTAGTTAATATCAGAAAAATCTTATTTATTCTTGTGCGATTAAAAAGTTGTTACCAAAAGTATCTTTATTGTTTTTCAATAAAAATCTTTTTCTTATTTTAAAAAAAAATAAAGTACTTTGGTTTTTTAAGTAAATGGAATACAATGAATTCATTTAAGTGTGTATAAGATTACAAAATAATATTTATTATATTTATTTAAGCTTAGCTTGTATAATAAAGTATCTTTCTTTTGTATTTATATACTATTTACTTTGCAATCTTCTTTATGGTATCAATGAGAGATAAAAAATATTGCTGCTTTAAATGAATTTTCATTTAATTCGATTCTAAATTATTTTTGTTATATTTTATTTTTAATATTGCAGTGAAAGTGTATTGAACATGTAATTATATATTCGATTTGACTATATAAGTTAACTCCATTGTAGTTATTTTGTTATATGTAAGCTTAGAATATGTCTTTTTGTACATTTTTATATTCTACGGAACTTACTTGGGTTTTCAAAAATTAACTAATATATATTTTAATAGAAATCAAATTCCTTATGTTGCATTAAATATATTTACATGGCTATATCCTCGAACGTTAAATATTTAATTTTTAATAAAATTTTAATTTTTTTCTCTTGATATGTAGAATACTATATTGAGTCGAAATGTTGGTTATATGTTATTGCAATACTGTAAAATAATTTTGCACTTCAATAACAATTAAAATTCAGAATTTATCTTAAAGTCATTTATTAAAATTGAAACCATTATTTTGTTAACACACATCACGCATATAAAGTACCAAGACATATCTGTAATATACCTGAGAAGAAAAATAATATTATTTTAGTTTTAATATACTATAAATAAGTGCGTGAGATGTCATTTAAACTAACTGAATGGCGCACTTTAAACAAAAATACGAAAAACTTATATAAAAACCATACAAAGATACATATTTTAACCTTCATTAAGCAAATAAAATAGTTTAATTTAACAGATTTCAGGGGCGAAGCATATGAAAGAAAGGCTTTTCCATAGTGAAAGCACTGTTAATGTTTTAAAATTCGTAAGTGACAATATATTTTTATTACTCTCACAGCAAATAAGTAAAATCAATCAATTTCAGTTTTTAATAATTATGCGACAGATAAAACCTTTATGCATTAAAAAATATTTTTTAGTACTATAAGAGTACCAACTTCTAAAGTAACAATAACAGCAATCGAATTCATCTAAAGAATTCATGGTGTAACTAATCCTAACTGAACTTTTACATGAACGACAGTATATTTTCCCTATAAATGAAGGTCGGAGCGGATCCTAACGAAATCAATTTTTCTCGTATGGTTGCCAAAATATGCTTCCAAGAGGGTATAAACTTGATCCTAACAAAATAAATTTTTCTCGTATGGTTGCCAAAATATGCTTTCAAGAGAATATAAGTTCTTGTAACTACATCCAGCTTTTAGATTAAAATAAAAGAAAAGAAGGAGTTTTATCCCAGCTGAGGTAAAATGGATTTTCTACTTACATTACTGCATAAATAAACATGTTTTGTTAAAAAAATAACATAACTTATAATAGTATATTGTTAGGTAACCGAAAACCTGTCTTACTAACGCCCAGCATCTATTTGTGGTCGAGTAGACAAACCAAGTTCGTGATATTGTAATTATCTGTAGTGCTATATCGATAGCTCCATATTAGAGTATTAAGTTAGACTGAAGGGAGTTATTTTCAACCTCTTGAAATATCCTCCAATTTAATGTCTAATGTGTTCTTAAGCTTAAAAAGATTTGAAAATAATATTGGTTTAAAATAATTCTTTTAGAAAAAAATATATAATATTTGGTTTTCAAAATTTTAATAAAATTTTGATAGAACCAGTTCTTAAATGTCCTACAAAAGTCTTGTAAAGCTACCTAATTTTTTGCAATCGATAAAAGTAGTGGGTATGTCATTTAAAAGTAAGTTTTGAATTCAAATTCTTTTACATAAATTGAATAATAATAAGATTTAATAATAATAATATCGAATAATAATAAAATTTAAAATACTGACTAAGAGCACCAAAATACCTAAAACGAGTAGTTAAGAAATAACACAAAATACAAATTGGCGAATAAATTTGCCGTTACACTTAAAAACGCATGAAAAATATTTGTAGAAGCATTTTTAATGTTAAAATTATAATTTAAAGATTAAAAACTTTTTGACTGAAACATCTAAATGACTAAATTTCAATGATATAACTTATTTCTAAATAAAATTACGAAATGATCTAAGATCGACGATCGGTGATGAAAAGAAAAAAATCATACTCACATTTATTGTACACGAATTGCAAATTATATGAATGAACCGGACGTTTTTCAATTTAAAACAAATAAATAATATAAATAACGCAATCCACAGGAATCAATAAAGCACGACAATAAAAGATAATGATTATAATTTAAAATGCAATTATGTCAGAACTGATCATGCACAAGCGCAAATTTTGGATTTTTTAAGTTGTGAACCATAAATGCGAATATTTTCTGTTACCTTTATTTCAGATACTTTCTGTTATTTTTTCGTTGCACTCACAGAACTACAGATATTTTAAATATCTTCTTAACACGCAAGATGTGAATTTTTATGCTTAAATTTATTTTTTATTATTTCATTTACGCTGCACTTGCAGAATTTTTTTAGTATTATTTCTTTTTTGTGTTGAATAATTTCAGCGATATATTAAAATTTGTTTAAAGCCACAATTAACACGAAAATCAATAAAACAAATTGTCAAGAGACAAGATCATTTAATTTATAAAAAACTATTTATTATTTTTAATGCAATTCTTTATTAAATTATTAACTCGACGAACGTTCATTAGCACGATCGTATATTTTAAATAATTTTTCTTATAGTTCCAAACTTTAAGAACTTAACCATAAACGCCCAATTCGCGACGTTTCCCTCACGCACATCCAATCAGATTTAGAGCGTCGTGAAAACTGTTCACCGAAAAACCGTAAAGTCAAATTCAAACCCGCACGCGATCAGTTGTGACAGTTGTTGTTGCTGTTGTGTTGATGTTAATTGTGTTGTGCCATGTTCGATGCTGTAACACTTGCTTCCGCTTGTTGTGATCTTCAAAAATGCAACACCAACCAAACTTGGCTTAATCGATCACAAAGCAAAATCAATGCTTATCAGCTGTAAGACAAATTTTGTTGTTATGTTCGATCGAACATGTTTGATTGTATGTACTCTCTTAGTGTTCGGTTCTCTTTATAAACAATTTTGTATCTTATAGATACATTTTTGTTTATTTTTGGTATTTTATGATTTGTTTGTTATTTTGCTATGCAATTTCGTTTTATGCTAAATACAAAAAAAACGTTTTTGCTCGTTCGACTGGTAGTAAAAATTTTTATTTAAACTTTTTTATTCCTATAAAGAAGAGTCAACATTGCGTTCTGGACAGTAAAGCATAATCGTTGACCATGGCATTAAGGCTTCTTCAGATGGCACAGTATCGCAAAATTATTAATCCACTTTTAAAATTCTAATCAATTTAACAAGTCACATTTCATTTAACATGTTAATTTTATGCATTAACTTGTCTTATCAACACTTTAGACACCAACTTAATTAACTTATTGAGTAGAAAAATGTAATAACTGTAATTAAAATTTTAAAATGATCTTTTTTTGTTTTAAAAAAATATTAAGGGGCGTGTAGCAATTAACATGTAACATGCAACACGTAACATATTTTTCATGCTGCAAATTTAGCAACTTACCAACTAAACATGGCCAATTAACCTAGCCACCATGGCATTTGGGTTAGCAAGTTTATCCAACTGCTGTGCATCTCAGAAGCAATTACAAACAAAATTAATGTTATTAGCCTGATATTAGTAAGACATACTTGCAACATCATCTCAATGCACTATTTACAATAGTAAAATATAGTTCTAGATTACTAATACATGCATATAAATTTTTTTATACAAATATATATAGAGATATACATAAGTATAGGTAAGTAGATTAAGTGAAAGGATTTATATTATTTAAAAAGCGATTTTGATTGAATATATTTTTAGCACACAATATATCTGGATTTATGAAATAAAACACATAAAAAATAATTGGTCAATCAAAATTTATTTTGACGATGCAACCCATTTATGTCAGCATTGCCCCAGTCTTCTATATCATTTTCATTTTGTAACCAAAATTGGCTTGATAAGCCTTTCTAAGTGATAATTTTAATTTCAGGAAAAGAAAAAGGAGTCTATGACTACTAAGTGTTAAGTCTACCACATTCGTATTTTTACTAGTGCTGTTTGTATTCGGATTTACGAATTATTCGTAGAATCCGATTAATCGGATAGTAGAGGAAGCTTCTGGAATTAAAACAAAAATCGGATTTTTTGTAAATCCAGAGTCTTTGAATATTCGAATTTGCTATTATTATTCGTAGTAAAATTATTCGAAGATTTCATGAGCGAAAGTTAATAGGAGAGCACATAATGCAAATGCAACACATTTAATATATTATTTTTATATAGAATATATTTTGCACATCTAAACGTATGTTTTGTTTTCACAGACCTCCTTTCCTACGTTAAAAATATTGATGTGAAAATTATATCACAAAGACTATATATTTTATGTGAGCATTTCTATTTATAAGCTTTGGATATTTCGTTCATTAAATATAACCCATAAAGAATATAATTCATGGTTTAGGCGTTGCATAAACAGCCGATCGCAGATTTGACTGATTTCAGTTTGTTGTAAAGGAGTTGGAGAAGAGAGTAACTATATACTTTATAGTTCATGCTGCATGTTTAGGAGTCTCTTTCTTATACATCAGCGAGTATTATCTGCAGGAGTTGAAATGGAGCAGAGCTCCTTAGCTCGATGTCCCCATATAGTCCAATATTTCAAGAGAAAGAATATATTTCTTTACTAAAATTCATGTGATATCCGAACATTGAAGGTTCTTGTGTAGCCTGTTCTTTTTAAATGGTTTTAAACCGTCAGGTGTTTGATTTGTAGTGCGTTCTCTATCTTCTGACAGCCTGTATTTTGATATTACTCCACCAACTCATCAACTTCTTAAGTGACTGCTCAAATAATATTAAGTCGAGTAATTTTAGAGCATAAGTAAAAGAAATGGTATTGAACATACCAATCTGATAAGCGTTGGAACAATGTATTCGGTTAGATTGCAAGAGTATCATTCATTAAAAGTTAAATAAATAATTAAATAAATAAACAATTGATTTAAGGTTTAATTGCATATAGTTTATCCGATTCAAGCAACACATTAAAGACAAATACGTAGAACTTGATCAGTAGTAAAATTGAACAATATTGCATTGCTTTTAAGAAAGTTCTATTGAGTAAGAACCTTTCTAATTGCCGTTACCGCTGGATTCACTTTATCCTTTAAAACTTTCTTTGTTGGCAAAACTTTGATTGTTTTAATTAGCTCTTGTCAACATATTGTTTTGCAATATAATATAAACTTTGAAAGAAATTTTCATGTGCACTGTATTTGCAATTATCAATAACTCTGAAGCCTCTTTTCATTATATCCGAGCCGCCTTGAAGTTCATTTTTTTTGTTAGAAGTTTTAGAAAATAGTGAAAAATCATTTAAAACCATTATTTGGATTTATACAATATTGTTAGCATTTGCATTAATTTAATAAAAATAAATAAATTCAAATACATTATTTAAAAAAAAATGAAACACCTTCAACAGTAAAAATATCATATTTATATATAAAAAAAAACACTTAAAATTTAAATTTTAGGGAACTACCTATGCATTGATTATTATTTATGAGTTCTCCTCCTACGAAGAACTTTACTGGATTTTAGTATTGCGATCGAATACGTTCAGAAATGTTGAAAGTTAAAAACTTCACAAATGTTGCATACAAAATGCGTGAATCTGTCCTTCTGATTTTACTTCAAGTGCAACTGTGTCTACAATGGTACCTCCCAGAATAAATCATCATAATCAAAATCATCAGCAGCATCACATTGCGCAATGACTGGAAATTGCCTCGGCAGACCAGCTGGATCGCTTCAAATGAGTTTCGTAGTGAAGTCAAGCAAAATCTTGGCTTACTTGCCAACTTACAATTCGGTGCTTAGCCTAGAAAAACTTGTTTGGCTAGGCACGTTTGGGTTAAAGATGGTCTTTGGTGAACTTAACTCACGATGAGTCGCCACGTTAATGTGAAGGGTCTGCTTCCTAAGTATAACACAAGTACCGCTGCTATTCCATGTGAGTTCTCATGCGCTCATATGTCTTATAAATGAAACTAATTTATTTACTTTTTTAATTAAATTTTATAAAAAAAAGAATTCGAAAAACAAATATCAATACAAAATATATGGAATATTTAAAAAAAAAATTAATTTAATACCAAAGACGGTAACTTAAAAGCCCACTTTTAACATTGGCGTACGTGGGACGAGTTGGAAGCTTAAGATTGCCACTTAAGTGAGCACTGAAACTTCACAAAATGAAATCTGTTTTTCACCCGATTTAATTTTTTCTGTTACAAATTTAAGTACCAACAAAAAACCTGTACCCATTTTAAAAGTAAAAAGTATCTTGAGGTGTTTAAGAAACAAGAAAATGTGATAAAAAATTTTTTGAAATTTTATGAATGGATTTTAGTAAAATTTTTATGCTCGGAAGATTGACACTTATGCAAAAATTTTTAAAAAGTGAGATTTTATTGCAAATAATATGATGTTTTTTATTTATTACTACATTAAGTCTTAAGGAAATTTATTATAAATTAAAAGTTAATTCTTATTTTGGTTTTGCTGTGATATCCGAAGAATATATTTTTTTAAATTACCTCTAACTTGAATAAAATGCTGATATATAAAAGATATCACCGGTTAAAGTGTTTTATTGAAAACACTACAACATACTACATAATGTTGCCTGTCTAAAAACAATACCTGGGATCAACATTTATCAACTTGGCCCGAATCTCGTAAAGTCAACCTGATTTATCTATATTAAAAATCTCAACATAATTTCCTAGAGTTATTAAATCAAATATTAAAAATGTCTCATAACACACAAAGATATAATTTCTCATCTCATCTTGCGTAAATTTCCTATTTAATTTAAATGAGTTACAAATTAAATCCTTACACTGCACTCACGCATGCAGTCATGCTCAACTAGCACCAACAAGCCTTAAATTGTACCGCAAGTCATAAGAAAAAAATAAACCCATTAATCTAATTATTGAGGTTGCATAATTTGTAATAAGATGTAAATTAATACAGTTAACAAGACTGTATCCTCGTTTGCGAAAATGTTGAAAAAGAGTGCAAGAGCGCTATCAAAATTTATTTATTCTGAAAAACAAGAAAAGTGATGCGTCACTAAAAGAAGGGGAAATACATAACTAATATGTTTGTCCCTCCCACCGCTTCTTGTGTATAATGTGTTTCGAAGTGGGAGAATAGGAATATTTAAAAATCTTAACTAGAACAGAGTATAAAAAAGGTTGGTGACCACTCCCATATATCTTCTTTGAACACTTCAATGCAACAAATCAAGTATTTCCAAACAATTATATAAGAAGTTGGTCCTTTTATACACCCGATTGTCTTCAGACACTTACTTATATTTAAATTAAACTTG